TTTGCGGGGACTTCATCCTTCGTTTAGCATTAAATAATTGATTGCGTAACCACTTCAATTAAACTTTAAAATTTCATTATGATAAATAAAATATAAAACTGAATTTTTAAAAACATTATTAATTAAATTAATTTTCCTAATTTAATTTTTTATTTAGTTTTTTTTAATACAGTAAGCATTATTAAAGTTGATCAAAGTTTAATAATAATACTAATAACATTTTATATACTTTTTATTCTATTTAAATTTAAATAAAATGATTAAAAGTCATTAAATAGTATAAAAGTAAATTCATGTATCATTAGCTTTACGAACTCCACAAACATCAAATCTACCTTAACGAAAATTAAAAATTTAAGTATATTCAAACCTTCCAAACAATTTCGTGAGAATTATGAAAATTAATATGATGAGCAATTTTGCTACTGCTGTTAAACTTTGTGTAATAGATAAATTCATCTATAATAGAATTTCCACTAACAACTTTTGAGACATCAATAGTGATTGATACTACTCTTTAACATTTCCTACACTGAGATTGATCGGTAATTCCAAATATGATATATGTCGTTAAGCAATATCTACATCCGACATATATTATAAAACAATATGAACACCACTTTTGACAATCTGTTACAAATTTAGTTTTTTTTCACAGTTTATACAAGAGCTACTTGCATCCCACCATGGCAAATAACATATTGGAATTAATTTTTCAATAACTGTTGATTTTGTCTATCCATTAGAAATTAAGTAACTATCATTATAAATAACCTTTTACAACATAGACGACACACAACGAATCTATCCCATTTATTTCGAATTCTTTACGTCTATAAATAGCTTGTCTAAAATATAAAATTTCCAAGCAATTTAAACAACATTTTTGTATATCATACGTCAAAAAATCTGAATTTCTTGGTTCATGTTAACTTCACTGAGTGATATTTGTACCTATACGAACATCCAAGTATAAATTTTAAATACTTAATGTACAAAGTTAAGCAACTTTTACAATATTTGTAATCATCAATTGACTTAGAAAATTCAAGTCCACAATAATTGCATTTGTCATTTTCATTGAATGAAATAAACAAAATTTGCACAGGGCTAGATTTTAAATTTGGGGTTGGGTCAAATGTCTCATTTTTCGTAAGTTCCATTTTTGTTAATAATAGAAAAATATTTCCGAAATTATATCAATTTATTATTATTATTATTATTATTTTCGGAGTATTCCAGTGTGTAACCTAAATTCGTTAATGTCCGAAATGATCATTTTGGATATACCAAACTAGTTGTTATTAAATTGCTAACATTTTATTTTTATACTTTGTTCAGATAAATTAAATAGTAAATTTAGAAATTTAAAAAATCTTAAACTTTTCAGATACATTTTTAACCTACCTGAAACCTCTCATACTAAAGATATTTTTTTTATTAAAAAAACCTATATATATTTTTATATTTTTCACATTCAACGCAAACACCTGCATGCAGCAAGATTAATACAAGAGCGAAACTAAAAAAGATTTGAGATGTCAGTCATACATGTGCAAATCATTTTATCTAAGTAAAAAAAATTAGTATCATTTATTGTGATGGTTTTTTAAAACATGTACAATAACTGTGTAATGAGAACGTTCAGAATAAATTAAATTATCAATTTTTAAAGGTCTAAACTGTTGCCATTTAAATTATGTTGTCACAAGGAACTCAGAAATGGTAAATTAAATTTGACTTCTGGCAGGTGAAAAAATGAAGGTTAAAATTTTTATTTATGATTTATGATCAACAGTAATTTATCCTTTATTTTATTGTATTAAGATTTACAATTATAAAAAAATTACAAAATAAAAATTTAAAAAATGAAAAAAAAATACAAAAATAAAACAATCAATCTCTTCATTGCATCTTTATAGCCGATGTGAAGTAATTAGGTAGTAACTAGCCGATGACGCTCACGCACGTGACCTTATGGTCACATGAAGGTCACATGCTAGCAGCAGTAAAGTTGCTAAATCGGAGGTTTCAGCAAAGTAGATGTAAAGTTTGACCGGTTATTAAACAGTTTAGAAATTTTGCTGTCCTTAATTAAATCATCATGAAATTTATTGTAAAAATATTATTTATTAATTTAAATTTTTTTTTAATATTAATTATAAAATTTTTGGACAAATTAGCCAGAAACACCATTTAGGGAAAGAATTATTTTTTTTTGAGACGAATAATAAGCTTTTCCACCCAAAGGGAAACCGCCGTAAATGGAAGTGATAATTAAGATAACGAATTATATTTTCTAATCGATCGATCGAAAATCGTCATTTATGCATTGCAGTTTGTTTTGTAAAAATTAAGTTTTTTATTTTTCTTATTTACTGCAAAAAAGAATGACGGAAAATTCTTTAATAGGTAATCTATACAAAATAATTCCAAAGAGAATGTATGGTCTGTGAATTAAAGATTCGCATTTAAGGAATTTTTTTCTTAAAGAATTTTTCGTTAATGCTTGGCAAATATTCAAATGCGGCAATCATGCATTACTAATCAACCCAAGCTAACTTTGGCAATTCAATACGATAATCACAAGGATATCAATAGTTTTGGTTAATTAATCTTAAACAGTAAATTAAAAATTTACCATAAACGTCGAACGAATAAAATTTACATATCGTTATCATAATGTATAAAACGTCAAAATTTAATTTTGCTCATTCAAAATTTAGTTCTTAACAAAATAGAAATGCATACATCTTAATTGTACTAACTCGTTTATTCAAACTACATCAAATTCTTAACAAAAGCGAAAGCAATTGCAAGAAAATACTAAAAAAATACATAAAATAGAAAAAATACAAATAAATATATTTTCAAAGTCCGCATAATAAGGAAACACTTTATTTGTAAAACGTTGTGGAATGCCGGACCGTTCAAATAACCTTGATGGTGGTCCTGTAACTGACAAACACGTCAGATAAAGTTTGATTATTTGAAAAGTGAAAAATGTTTTTAATACAAATTGCGCAGATCCTTTAAGGGATATTGGAACTCTAAGGTTGACGTGAGATAATAAATAATTCATGACGTTATTTTCGACATAATTATAAATCTAAACGAACCATATGAGGAAGCTTTTAACAATTTCTCAACGAAATCAATTCACAACTTTAGTAGTAAATCGTAAATAATATAAATCGAAATTATATGTCGAAGCATCGTGTACAAAATCAATAGGATATCTCTATTACAAATATCTCGCATCTTATTACCTCAAAGATTTGTGTTTACAAAACATAAGCTTTCATTATTTTTGCTTAATAATTGATAGTAACTTCACCACGAAGTGGCAAAATCCACCAATCAATGCATTGCTATAGTAACTGTGGAGTCATCGGCGATTACCCGTGAAGTTATCGATATAATTATTCGGCCCCCTGATTATTATAAAATATTATTTTAAATATTATTCTTTTTTCTTTCTCGTTTTATATCATTTAATCTCAATACAACCGCATTTTTTTTTTTGCCAAAATCCAAATAAAAACTTTTTAAAACCTTTTTTATAATAAAAAAATTATTTTATTATTTAGTCAATTTTAAATATAATGAACCTAGTGATAGTAATATATAAGCAATTATTAATTGTATTTCAATTATTTCAATTGATAAAAATTGGGTTATACTGTTAGAACGATATCGTGTAAATTTAATGGAAAAATTGAAGAAATTGAAAATGAAATTGATCTTTAATGCATATAATCAAGGTTCTTTATTTATTTATTTTATCGTTACATATTTTATAAAGAAACTAACTTTCATATATTTAGAATTGCAAAACGATTCTGCACAAAAGAATTTAATTGATAGTCAATTAATAACAACTGATCTCTCACTTCCAACGTATTTTTAAAGAAAATACATTTATTAATTGTTCATTTATATTTAATATTAATAGTAAATAGAATTTAATTAAGTATATAATAATTAATAAATAATTAACACATCAAACTTTTTTAATGTATTTTAATAAGTAATAACTTATATTGTAAAATCATGGTCGAAGTTTTAATAAACTCTTTCCGAGACAAATTACTCCACGGACAAAGCGTAATAATCATATATGGCCGTGTAATTATTTTAATTATTTCACATGTTATTACATCACTATCTTTGTTTCTTATTTTTTACATAGTTTTATCGTTGCTTCCTTTGCTTTACAATTTTGTTTAATTTTAATTATTTTTTCATTGGAATTTGTAATAATATTCATCAAAAAAAATTTGAATCTTTAAATGAGGTTTAGACATTTTTTAATTCATAATACTTGCTTAATGCAAATACAAATCACTTTGATATTAATAATATACGATTATAAGTTATAGAATTTGTTAATTTTCAAAAAAATATAAATGAAAATAAAAATAAAGCGTCATCGATATAAAATGTAGCATTTTATCTTTCATTTCCGGGAATATGTTGTATTTAGTAAATAATAATATTTCGGTAACCACCATCTTAAGCTAATTCCTATGGTTTTGAAGTTTCGATTAGGATTTAAGGGTATAAAAGATTTCTCATTTGTAATGATTCGAATTTATAAAAGTGGAGTTCTATATTTTCTAATTTAGTGTGTTAATATTTAAAGATAGTCGACGAGTCGAAATTATGTTAACTTAGGTGACTTTATAACATTAATAGGTGAAATTATTTGATCAATATCTCAATATGAAAATAATTAGATGAATCAAGGAATGATAGGATTTAGAGAATAATGATATGAAACTAAGCGCGTTGATGGAAGGAAAAGTAAATAATTAAATAGTAAAGTTCTAGATTAGAAAAGGAAACTGAATTATCTTATTTTAAAGAGAAAAAAAAGGTTAGGAATTAATATCATGGAATCGAGAAATTGTCGGATTTTAAATTTTTTTGATAGGTAATAAAAAGAATAAAAGGGTAATCGATAAACTCTAAACAAGTTTTTACCAGAAAAATTTTCATCAAGAAAAGCTAGTTCCGTGAAAAAACATGTCCTCAAATTCATTATTTGTTTCCTGTCGTTCAGGTATTTGAGAAATTCTATCAAGTGTATCCCTATGAACAGTATAGTTTGGATTCATGCTATTTACATGATTTGCTAAAGTTGTGAATTTATTTCGCTGAAATATTGGCAAAAGCTGCCAATAATGGTCTGTCGCCAGATTAATTATTATTCGTTGAATAATCTGTAATCTATTGGCCTCACGGATCACGTTTCTTTTCAGTAATTTTTTACCCGTCATTCTTCAAGAAATTCTGCCGGGTAACACTCGAGCAATAAGACGCCGCACATAATTCATATCGGGGGCAATAATTCTATCATAATTTGCTTGCCTTAAGAACTTAGTTGGTAATTCATTTTAGAAAAGAAATGTGTTGTAGAAAAAAAGCTCAAGGATATCGTATCGTATTTATAAAGCTTCCTCTGTGCGGCTGAAATTATGTACGTTCACATAACAGCACTGATTGATCATATCAACTCATGTCATTTTCTAAATATGTTCACATAACAGCATTGATCATATCAACACATATCATATTCTAAATTTGTTACATTACAAAGTACTTCTTATGATTCATACCAAATTGCATGATTAATCATTCGCATTAAAAAGAGAATCCGAATAAACATGTGAATTCGCATTTATTAGAATTAAAAAAAAAAATGTAACATGATAAGCTAAGCTTCTGCATTGATATGTAGCGCCCGGAAGTAGGTAGATATCGCCAATTATTTAACTTAATTCTCTAAGTTTTATAAGAAATCACCTTGAAAGATATCGTGTTGATGATGTAGAAGGTCTTTATATGATTTTATACCAATATTAATAAGGAAATTAAAAAGTTAAATGTCAGTAAAAAGTCTCGAGTCTATTTATATTACAAAACCAAATCGTCAATCTATTTTGATTATTTACACGTGTAATGATCGGGTTTCCTTAAATGTGATGTAACTAATATCTTAAGATTAACCATATTTCATTGTTTATTAAAAAGAGATGAGATTGTTTACAGGATGACTGACGTACGTGTGAAAAATTTTAACCTGACACTAATATACGCCTAGTTATTTTTTTTTTCTTTGTTTCTTATCTGTTAATATGCAGGGGAAACGTCGCAAAAATCATTTCAGATAGATTATTTTAATCTAATGTATGTCTAATTATTGAGGTAATAATCTTGTCTCTTTACGGCGCGGATCAACTTTTGTGATCGTCGCTTTTCAACTTTCTTAAATTGAAATTTACCGTTATCCATACCCGTGTCTGGCAAAGTTTTCGATCGGCACGGGTCGGGTCACTTCACTAATAAAAAATCAATAATTAATCGTCCTTTTATTTTCAAAAATTATAATTGATAGCTCCACTCACGAAAAGTCGATGATATTATAAATGAAAGTTAATGAAGTTTATAATTAAACCTTTAATTCAGGCCAATAAAAAAAAAATTGTTTACGACAACCGTACTTCATTTTTATCTTCGTTATACTTTTCTAACCAATCAAAAATTTATTTCCATTTACGAAAACAAAATTTTATTAGGCGCAGCAGGTTTCCACATTTAAACATATCGGTACTTGGCCTAATCTAATTTCACACAATATCTCGGAATATCTTTTCTTCGCAATTTGCTTTGAAATAGCAATTTATCCAATTATTAGGTTTCAACAAAATTAATCAACATTCGCATTACTAAGGAAGGGTTTAAGATGCCTGGACATTTAAATGTATTAGTGCATAATTAAAATAACAACTGAAAATTAAATTAATGAAAGTATCTGCTAATCCGAAGAAAGATTTCTTTTGAAAAACGTAAGTACGATAATTAAAGCGTCACCGAAGCAACTTGTTTAATTAGATGAATGTAAAAAGTACAATGAAAAATAACCGAGTATGAGATGTTTGATATTTGAATTGAATATTAATTAATCAATTAGATTATTTTTATAAAGTCATTGACACTAATTAAACTCTTCCATGATATAATCCAATAAAAAACCGCTATTCATGTATTTATTTATGGCCAATCAATGTGAATGTAACGGTATTTAATCTTAATATTATTAAAATGAAATTTTTGTAAGAAAAACAAATATCATCGAATTGGGAAATTATTTTTTTGTTAAAAAAAATAGCAATAGATAATTCTTCGGAAAATTGGAAATTTCTTACAAGTAAACTTTGAACATGACATGGCAAGGAGTTTTAAAGCTTTGAAATTATTATTTTTTGGTTATTTTTTAATTTCAGGTTCAGGGCGTACTGATCAAACGATTTCTATTAGGATCTAGCATCATTTCTTTTTATGATGTATCGATAAAAGTTTATTTCATTAATTTTGAGTTGTATGCATAGGTAAGTTTTTTTTTTGATTTTATTTTTCACTAAATTATACGGTTGGATTGCTGCAGAACAGAAGCCAGACCCGGTTAGGACCTAATAATATGACGGTTAAATTTAATAATTCAATCATCTTATTTATCAACAAAATCATTAAATTTCGCTTGTTCTGCTTTATTTTCTTTGAATCAGAAAAATAAATATCAATTTTTTTAAAGTCATTGATCTTTATATAATAAAACTTTAATTATATTTATTATTTCTTATCATTTAAACTAATTATTTTAAATTATAAATATATATCTAAAATTATTATAATGATATTAAGTTTTGAAAAACTTTAAGAATAAGACAATTAGTATAAAAAATAATATTATAAATTTCATATTTTTTATTTTATTAAGAAAAAAGGCTTAATAGAAAAAAAACTTGCTATAGTCTTAGAAATAGACAAAATGAATTCAATTAAAATATAGTAAATTCTAAATTGTAATAGAACAGGCATTTGGTTATTTAAAGAATAGACTCTAATTATCAAAAGAATTATGGACTAAAAATACTAAAATAGTAACTGATTTAATAGAAATTTCATTGGTTTTATATAATTTAATAGAGAGAAATAAAGATGAATAGGAATCTTCAGAGCAAATAATAATGGATAGAATGCAATATAATGAGCATAATTTATGAAGAGCTTAATAATTATAATCATTTTAGTTGAATAACCATTTATTGTTTAGCTAATATGTCCTTTGCTCAATATTCTATAGTCAAAATACCTTTTGAACTAAATGTTCCTCATAAAATTTGATGAGTTTCGTCTAATGAAAAAGGCAGTAAATTAGTAAAATTTAAATAGTAAATAATAATGAAATTGTTTGTATAAAATGCTAACGATTAAGACAATACCTTTATTTATATTATTTTAAATTAGTATTTTGCTATTATTAATAAATTTATTTGAAAATATAAACTTTTATTTACCAATTTATAATTTTACAATAAAAAATGCTAACTAATAGACATACCATGGCTTTTTGAACTGATCTTTAAAATTTAGAATCCAAAATAAAAAATTTTCATTTACAAATATATTAACAAAATAAAAAAAGAATAACAAAAAAAAAGAACGATAAAATAAATAGAATAAAATAGAACAATAAAAATAATAGAATAATAGATAGAATGATAAAAAAAAAAAATAGAACAATAAAAAGAAATAAATCGATAGAAAAAATGAACAATAAAATAGAATAATAGAACAATGATAAAATAGAATGATAAAAAAAATATAGAACAATAAAAAGAAATAGATCGATAGAAAAAACGAACAATAAAACAAATAGAATAATAGAAAAATAAAAAATAGAATGATAAAATAGAATGATAAAAAAATATAGAACAATAAAAAGAAATAGATCGATAGCAAAAAAAAAGAATAAAGTAAATAGAATAAAATATAACAATAAAAAATAGAACAAAAATTAGTTCCTTTTATAAAATAATTTAAAATCTCTTTTCAAATTCAAAATATTTTTAGGGAAAATTATATTTGCCAACTTAAATGATATTTATTAATAAATTAGAAAAAAATTAAATATTAATGAAACATTAGTTTCTGATGATCACAGACCCGGAAATTTTATCCGTTACTACTAATACGTGACGTGATATTGAAAAGGCCCTAGACAAATTCGTTGTCATCCTAAAATGGTAAACGGATTTACTTTTTAGCGAAAACGAAATTTTAACACACGAGGTCACACAACTCAAAACTTTTTTATGCAGGTAATAATTAATTATGCATTTTCCAGCCAGCTAAATTACATGTGAAAGCTAATACCTATTTTGATTTTCCCTTTATTCATATAAATGTTTTTAAGATATGTTATGCAAAAATATTTATTAATTCAAAAAAAAATTTATTTATTGTTTTGTCAACTTTTTACATTACAGTATCTTGATTATCGTTGCTTCTTTTTTTGTCAACATTTTTATCAATTAATAAAAGGTTTTTAATTTCAGACAAAAATTCTTGTTTAGAACTATTCCAATCATCATTGGTCATAAATCTGCTTATCAAATCTTCATTATCAGTTTTCGTCTTTTTTAATAAAGTTTCATAATCAATTTTCGCCTTTTCTAAAAAAGTTTCATTGTCAGTTTTTGTCTTTTTTAATAAAGTTTCATAGTCAGCTTTCATCTTGTTTATTAAATCTACACAATCAACTTTACTTTGATTAGGAACTTTCAAGTCAGCCAACTCTCTCAATTTGTCAGAAATATATATTGCATTACTACTCAATGCTGAATTATTGTCTATATCTAGAATTTTTTGTTGAACCTCTTCAATTGGCATCTCATAGAAGCTATTTAAATAAAAAAAATTAAGATTATATCTTTTTAATGAAAAATATGCAATCGATTATAGATTACTTACATCGTATCCGGAAACCAATTCTTCCACCTTCGTTGATTTGGAAGCAGATAAAAAAGTTCAATTTCAGCCAAAACTTTTGCTTTTTGTAGTTTAAACAGGAAATGCGTTCTATTTACTTCAATTTCCAAATTAAGCAATCCAATGAATAAATTCATTAGATAGATTACAACCAAGAATGAAAACAAAATTAACAACACTGTCAAAAATGTATTTTCCTGATATGTCCATGAGCTAAGTGATGATGAATCTCCGGTTAAAAACAAATACATGGCCAAGATTGAGGTTATATAAGTGGTAAATTGATTTGAATTAGAATCAGGTTGTTGTATAAAAGCTGTTTCTGAAAGAATTTTGCCATTTGAAACTGATTGATATTTCGTAACAAGATTCCAGGGATTATTTGGATCGTCATTATTGGAAGGTTCAATCAAATTGTAATCCTTATTTGGAGTCAAAATAATGA